TCAGCAGTCTGTGTGTGTATTCAGCAGTCTGCTAAGTACACAGACAGACTGCTAAGTACACAGACAGACAGACTGCCGAGCACACTCACAAACTGCTTAATACACACACAGAGATGTTAATTAGTTCGGACAACTGTATGAGTTGTTTTTTCTAAACTTAAACCTCAGTATTCAGGTTTAAATGCCGTTTTGGCACTTTGAGGGAAAAAAATTGGCATGTATTACGGTTTGGGCACTCAGGCTCAAAAAGGTTCGCCATCACTGGTATAGCATGACAAAATAAAATATTAAGTCACAAGATTTAGAAAACAAGTTATAAACAAAATAATAACAAAGAGATTAAACAATCTATCAGTTGCTGAAGCAAACATGTAGTCTACTTGATATCTTTTGGAACTGTGGAATGTGATATGTGCTAAGAACAGGCAGCTCACCAGTCTTATCTGGAAAATATATACTGTATGTGATGTTATTATCGTCATTCACGGTACAAATTATTCTTTTGTTTGGAGGAGGAGAGGGACACATTTCAATCTCTTTAATAATTGTGTCAAAAGAAAGTCTAGTATTTTTAGTCATGTAAAAACAAACTTGAAGTTATGTGCCCATAACTATTTCTGCCTCTATGTGGTCCCTTTTTTTTTTTTTTAAATATATATTTTTTATTAAAATATTACAAGAATTAAACATATATTAAACATGTATATTTTTATCTTACAGCATTTATTTCAAACCAGTATAGTAGATTAGATTATTCCATAACATTTCTATCCAAGTTTGATCCTAAAATGAATGGATATTAAGTTCAAATATCTGGAAGGTTAATATAGTCTTAAAATACATTGCTTATCCAAAATACTGTCTTCAAAATGGTATAAATTTATTACACAACACATATAATACAAAAAAAACACATAGAGCACATATATCATGAGCTACAACAACAAGACAGAGTCAAAATGCTGATCAATTTAGTTCTAAGAAGATCTTTAACCCCTTAAGGACTGGACTGTTTTTGCGATGTTGTACATTTGCGACCAGGCCTCTTTTTATACTTTTGTGGTGTCTTTGTTTAGCTGTAATTTTCTGCTCTCTCATTTACTGTTCCTGTAACGGACCGTTTTGCACACAAGGGGTAAAAAACGTTTAGGCGATCGTCCCCTTCTCAGAGATGCAGGCACAGCTACTGTAAAACACCAAACTCACGAACCGCCAATAAGGGAATGCTCCAATCTCCTGAACGGCATACAATATAGCACTCCAAACACACGAACTGGAACCATACGAATCGTTGCTAGCAGACGAATAGGAAAAGCATCCAAGCAGCTTACACTCCTAGCAATCAGTCTCTATCAGCGTTCAGTAAACCCCCCAAAGACGAGACAAGGCTCCGTTTTGAGGGTCAAGCAGTGGTCTGTTTAATGAGGGCTACCTACCCAGTGTGACAGACCCATCTGTATGGACTAAAAGCACTGTGTTCGTCTGTTTTGCCGTTTGCATGAATTCCCCCATTCGTATGCTTTGTTTAAGGGAATGTCTGTTTTTTGTCGAACGGAACTACCGAACGGACGGCCACCCAGAAGAGAAGTGTGCTGCTGGTTAACCTATTGATCCCAATTAGAACGTTGCGGTTAACCACAGACACTTCTCAATTAAAACCGAATACCGGGTGGTCGTCGTTCGTATGTCGACCACGAGGCGGCGGCCATTTTAACCATGCGAAAGACCAGCGGTGTTCGACGGTTATTTCATGGAACTGAAAACGGACACTTTTTCAACCGAACACCGCTGAAGCCGTCGACCTCCCCTTCTCAATCGACAAAAGCATACGAATGCCGGCCGTTCGGGAGATTCAACAACACGAATGGACTTAACCCAGATAGCCTTCCCATGGAGTCAATCGCATACCGAAGAGCTGTAATAGACTTTGACTCCATGGCGATTGAACTATGCGAATGGGATCTGAGCGCTATTCGCCAATAATATGCACTCAGATCCAGGCTATCTGGGGATGTGTTACACGAATGCAATATGTTCGGCAGTTATAAAGTTATGTAATTTTATGTGTTTTATGACTTGTACTTAAAATGGCGATTTGCCTCTGCTCTGGGAGATAATTGAATTACTTCCCAATTATTTCCCGAGCAGAGGGGAAGCAACTGTGATGCATGCTGGGAATATTGTGGGGATGTATGTCTGAAATGTCCCCATGTACTTCTGTTATTCCAGTCTCCCATTTGGTCCCCTAGGGGAGTGTCCACCAAGTGGGAGACCTGCATAAATACCGGGCAGGTAGCCCACAGTAAATCAGTTCGTGTTTTACCCTCAAAGCGGAGCTTGGTCTCGTTATTGGGGGGGATTTTATTACCGGCGCCTAGAGACTGCTTATTGGAATTATTTGCCGCTTGGAAGATATTGGCGTTCGGCTAATATTGGCAGTTCGTGGATTTGGAGCTCGTGAAGGGAAAGAGCCGTACAGGTACCATTCGGGAGTTTGGAGTGTTCCCTAGCTGGCGGTTCGCATGGTTATACTGTACACGCTACCAGACCACATTATTGCGAATGGGGAGCATTCACTAAACGGCGGTTTGTACATTTATTACTGGAGGTACTGTAACAACTGGTGGCAAGCGACGGGATGATCCTCAGCACCCAAAGAGACCACTACAACAGGAATAAATGGAATTACAATACCAGAACCTGAGAAAAGCTAACCTAATGGATTTATTAGAGCAAAGAGGCGGACAAGCCAGCAACCTCAGGACTATTGCTGGAAATGGATGGAGTACCAGCAGCAGAGGGAACCAATGGACCCAGCACAGCTGACAGAACCACCGAGGAGGCAAGCTTTGACCGGGCGGTAAGAATCAGGCTGGCACATTATGGTCCCAACCCATCTGCAGAGGTCATCACCCAGGTCATGGCCGCTGTGGAGGCCAACCTGCTTCGCCAAAGCGGTGCTGCAGCAGCCCCAGTCACAGCAAACATGGGAGAAAGAAAGAAGGTGCCGTTTACTGCGTTTAAAGCCTTCAGTTAGACAGAAGGAGAGATTGATGGGTACCTTGCTGATTTTGAGCGGCAATGTGCCCTGCACAAGGTACCCCTGGAAGACTGAGTTACTATATTGTCCGGCAAGTTATCCGGCCTGGCCAGCGCGGCTTTTCGGGCCATCCATGATGAGGAGATTGGGGATTATGTGGCCGTCAGGGAAGCTTTACTCTCCCGGTATGCCGTTACACCCG